ATCTATCTATCTATCTATCTATCTATCTATCTATCTATCTACATAAATACATATAATTTTTTCCCCTCCAAATACCCTAATACTGACAAAGGTCTCATGAGTTACAAATATCATCTTTCCATGCAGGAATATAAACAGTTCAACCTTAATAAATCCCTTGTGATTTCTCTTTACTTTTTACCTCTTCATGTTTCTCTTGAGTCTTGTATTTGAAAGTCAAATTTTCTATTCAGCTCTGGTCTTTTCATCAAGAATGCTTGAAAGGCCCCTATTTCACTGAATGTCCATTTTTTCCCCTGAAGGATTATACTCAGTTTTGCTGCGTCCTGTTTACCTTTATATGCTTCTCTTGAGTCTTGTATTTGAAAGTCAAATTTTTTATTCCTCTCTGGTCTTTTAATCAAGAATACTATCTCACTGAATGTCTATTTTCCCCCTAAAGGATTATACTCAGTTTTGCTGGGCAGGTGATTCTTGATTTTAATCCTACCTCTTTTGCCCTCAAGAATATCATATTCCAAGCCCTCTGATCCTTTAATGTAAAAGATGCTAAATCTTGCATTATCCTGACTGTGGCTTCACAGTACTTGAATTGTTTCTTTCTGGCTGCTTTCAATATTTTCTCCTTGACCTGTGAATTCTGGAATTCAGAAATAATATTCCTGTGAGTTTTCATTTTGGGATCTTTTTCAGGAAGTAATCAGTAGATTCTTTCAATTTCCATTTTACCCTCTGCTTCTAGAATATCAGGGCAGTTTTCCTTGATAATTTCTTGAAAGATGATGTCTAGGCTCTTTTTTTTAATCATGGCTTTCATGTAGTCCAATAATTTTTAAATGATGTCTCCTGGATCTATTTTCCAGGTCAGTTATTTTTCCAATGAGATGTTTCACATTGTCTTCTATTTTTTTCATTCTTTTGGTTTTGTTTTATTGTTTCTTGATTTCTTATAAAGTCATTAGCCTCCATTTGGTCCATTTTAATTTTTAAGGAATTATTTTCTTCATTGAGCTTTTGGACCTCCTTTTCCATTTGGCCAATTCTGCTTTTTAAGATATTCTTCTTCTCATTGGCTTTTTGGACCTCTTTCACCATTTGTCCTACTCTTCTTTTTAAGGTATTATTTTCTTCAGTATTTTTTTTTTGTGTCTCCTTTATTAAGCTGTTGAATCATTTTCATGATTTTCTTGCATCACTCCCATTTCTCCTTCCAATTTTCCCTCTATCTCTCTTACTTGATTTTCAAAATCCTTGTTGAGCTTTTCCATGGCCTGAGACCAATTCATATTTTTCTTGGAGGTTTTGGATGTAGGAGCTTTGACTTTGTTGTCTTCTGTTTTTATCTTCCTTGTCACCATAGTAACTTTCTATAGTCAGAGTTTTTCTTCACTTGTTTGTTCATTTTCCCAGCCTATTACTTAACTTGACTTTTTGTTCATGTAGGGCTCTGCTTCCAGGGTAGGGAACAAACAGTCCCAAGGTTCAGGGGGTTTATGCAGCTGCAGAGATACTTCTAAGGACCTTCAAGTTTTCAGTTCTTCCAAGGTGGTATGATCTAAGGAGAGGTGTTTGATACTCTCCTGGCCTGTTCTCTTGTCTGTGAGCAACCACAAGTACTCTTTTTCAGCCCTGGAACTGTGGGGAGGGCCCCCCTTCACCATAGCTGTAAGCTCTATTGTGCTAGTGCTCCTCCTTACCCTGGGACTGCCATCCAGGACTATGAACTGAATCTGAGTATTGGCAAAGCAACAGAGTCTTGCCTAGTGCTAGCAAAAAGACCCCTGTAATTCCCTTCTGGCCAGTTGTTTGACCCCCTTACCATCTGTGTGCTGAGAGCTCCAGAAGGACCAGCTGCTACTGCTGATTCAGTCACTCCCAAGGCCTGCTCCTGGTTTCCCGGGGCTGTGGCTGTGGTGGCATAGCCTGATCTGGACTTTGTGCCACTCTCACCCAGCTGTAACAGACCCTTCCTGCTGACCTTCTAAGCTGTTTTTGGTGTCTGTGGACTGAGAGGTCTGGAAACTGCCACTGCTGCCAGTGATTCAGTCATCCTGAGGGGCTCAGTCTGCAGTGGCACCATCCTGCTCTGGACCTTGCTCCTCTCTCACCCTGGTGCGACAGACTTTTCCTGCCAGCCTTCCAAGTTGTCTTGGGCTAGAAATCTGTTTCATTCCATCTTTTTGTGGGTTATGATGCTCTAGAATTTGTTTAGAGTCATTTTTAAAGGCATTTGGAGGGGTTTGGGGGAAAGCTCAGGTGAGTCCCTGCCTTTACTCTGCTATCTTGGCTCCACCTCTAGGCCTTACCATTTTCAAAGTGCTTATATACACATTCTCTCATTTGAGTTTCATAGCAACCCTGTGAAGCAGACAGGGAAAATGATATCCTCACCAATTTATACATGAGGAAACTGAGGCTTAGGAAAGACGTGGCTTTCCCAAGGTCATGCAATTACTAAGCATCACTACCGAGATTTGACTGTGGTACTCCTGACTCCCTTTCGTTGTACTTTCCTCACACATTGTTCTACTTCTCATTAATTTGCCTGTATCTGATATTTGGTTTGTTACACTCTCAGAGACTGAAGAGACCTTGGAGGTTTTCTAGTCCAACCTGTAACTAAATGGGGATTCCCATAAGTCACGTAGAACAAATGGTCATATACTTTCTCCAAGAAGAACACCAGCTCTTATAGAATTATTGTCTAAAGCTCTCATCTCCATCTTGTATTTTTGAAGTGGGTTTTCAGAACACAAGTGAAGGAAATTACATTTATTCCCAATAAATTTCATATTAAGGGTTACACAAGATTCCTTTTTAAGTACAACCACAAAGATAACTTTGATCAATGAGCCTCTTATTATTGCCAAAAGAATCATAAAAGAAGGAGACATATTTTTTCCAAAGATGTTTGCCACTGTCATGTATGATACTTTGGACAAAGTCTACATGGAAGAATAATTCCTAAAGAAGTAATGTCCTTCGAATGTTCCTGTTTGTGGATGATCTTATGATAATTTTATAAGAGTGCATTACAGGGCCTTCTCAATGAAATCCATGCCAGGGAAAGACAAAGCTAAGAAAGAAAATGACCAATATCCTTAATGAATATCAACATTAAAGTATTGAATAAAACATTAACAAATCAGTTAGAGCAACACATTAAAAATATTCACTATGGCCAGGTTGGATCTATGCCATGAATGCAGAATTGGTTCATTATTAGGAAAGCTATAAACATAACAGACTATATAAATATCAAGGATAAATATCACATGATTATATACTAATAAATTGCAGAAGATTTTTTGATGAAATACAACACCAATTTCTGTTAAAACATTAAAAAACATGGGAAGATGGAATTTCCCTTACTATGATATATCTACTAGATTTCAGTATCTATTAAAACCAAGAGCTAACATTTTATGTTATGGACAAACGCCAGAGTCCTTTACAACATGAACAAAGGTAAAAAATAGGATATCCATTATCATCATTTTTTTATAGTTCTATTAATATTAAGTATATAAATAAGGCAAGAAGAAACTGAAGTAATAAGCATAAGCAAAAAGGAAGCAAAATTGTTACTTTTTACATATGGCATGATTGTTTTCTTAGAGAACTCAGAAGATTCAACTAAAACATTAATTGAAATAATTTCAGCAAAATGGCAGTGTAACATCACATAAAATCATCAGCTTTTCTGTACATTACCAACAGAACTTATGAGGACAAGATACAAAGATAAATTCCATTCAAAATAACTATAGAACCTATAAGATATTTGAGAGTATATCTATCAGTACATACATAAAAACTACAAAATGTTCTTGATAGTATTAAGACATACCTAAATGATTAGAGAGATTGTAATCACTTATCATTGGATCATGTCAATATAATGAAAATGACAATACTGCTTAAATTAGTTTACTTATTCAATGTCATGCCAATCAAACTACCAAAAGATTACTTTATAGAGTTAGAAAAAATAATAACAAAATTTATCTGGAGGAACAGAAGATCAAGACTCTCAAAGGAAATACTGGGGAAAAAAATTAGGGAGGGAACCTAGCAGCACCAGACCTTAAACTGTACTACAAAGGAGTAATTATCCAAATTACTTGGTATGAGTTAAAAAATTTAAAAGTTGGTCAGTGGAACAATTTAGAAATAAAACATACAAAAGCAAAAGAATCTAGTAACCTAGTGTTCAATAAACTCAAAGATGCTCATCACTGGAGTAAGAATTTTATCCAAAAAAAACTGCTATGAAAACTGGAAAGTAAAATGGAAGAAATAAAGTTTAAATCATGATTTCACACCATATGCCACAATAACTTCTAGATGGACAGATAACCTATATCTAAAAGGTCACATCATATATATGAATGAAGAAAATACCTGATACAACTTCAGGGAAAGAGTTTGTAACCAGACAAATGATAGAAGATCATAAAAGCTAAAATGGATAACTTTGACATCATAAAATTGAAAAGCCTTCTGCCCAAGTGAAAATAGATGTAGTTAGAATTATAAAGGAAATAGACAATTGGGAAAAAAATCTGTGTAACAAGTTTCTCTGAAAAAAGTCTGACATCCATGATATAAGAAACTGATTCAAATATATAAAAATGGCAACCAAACACCAACAGATAAATGGCCAAAGGATATGAATAGGTAGTTCTCAAAGAAAGAAATCCAAGCTATCAAAAGGCTTATAAAATGTTCCAAATCACTAATAATCAGAGAACAGCAAATTTAAAACACATGGAGTTTCTAATTCACACCCACCAGTTGTCAAAGACTGTCAACAAACAAAATAATTAAGTGGAGTAGATGCTGTCAATCAATTTGAAAGATATGCCACAGGTAAGCCACAATATTTACAATCTGCCTGGTAATAATTGAAAGTTAACTGCATATTTATTTAGATGCCACACTCTCTATTTCTGTCAATACAAAAGGATTTTTCTTTCTTTCTTTTTTTAATACAGGAAATATTGTGGAATTATCCTGTCTTGACATTAATTTACTAAATAATTTCACTTATCCATTCTCGGAATTCAATATTTCTTTTGTGAACTTCCTGCAACAAGAGAGGGAACATGAGGTTATTGTTCTGGGAATTTCTGCAAAGCACTTTCACTTTCATAATACATCTAAGGTCTGTCCATTAACCTCTCGTGAATTACAACTGTATTCTTCATGTTTGGTGTGTGAATCCAAAGGAACTAAGGATTTTATTCATCAAGAATTAACAACAAAAGGTAACAACAAACTTAAAGAAGTGTGGAAAATGGAAAGAAAAATGATCAATGGTAAATTATTCATTATGTTAAGTATAATTTAAAACAACAAAGATGAAAATAATTTCTATTTTAAGGACAAAGACACTAGGTCATTAAATTAAATGCCAACCATGAGTAATAGACTTAATGATACAACTTCTGATCTTAGAACAGAATTTCACAATTGGAAGTTAACCATAAAGGCCATTTAAGTCAGTCTCCTACTCAAAGAGATATCAGGAGATTGGGTCCCTGCAGGGCTGAAAGGAGAAGACAGATGGAGATCTCGAAACTTGGGGAAGACTTCTAGGAATTTCTTTCCTACCTCTTGCCACTGCGAGGTTAGATGAAAAGATGAGTGTTCATTTCCTTTCCTTAAGAAGTAGTTAGGGGTATTAGAGAAGAGGCAGAGGATAGATGTATATGGCATTGGGATGGCTAAAAGCTGGCATGCATATTATGAGTTCATTAGTCTGAAAGCAAAGGCAGAGGTTATGGTGAATGTGCATTTTGGGTGTGTGTTTTGGCACGGGAACAGTGACTAACATGGGTGAATGTGGCATCATGATCCAATGTATGTAGGGTGAGAGGTGTGAATGAGTCGAGGATAGGAACTTGAGCCTTTGGGAGTGAAGTAGAGAGTGAGAAAGAACGAATAGAGAGTGTAAGGTTGAGTATGGAAGTGGAGGGGGGGAAGGTGGTAGGAATGTGGAGGTTAGGAGTATTTAATACTGGAGGGCTTGTCATGGAGCTGCTTTCCCTATATGATTATCATGGTGTTTGTGCATAGGTAGAATTTATAGTCTGATATTCAGAGCACACTGTACACAGTATTTATGAGTGCAGAGTGAATAATGATTAAGCATGTAAGATCGGCCTTATATTGGTGCCATAAGTTATATGCACTATACAGTTCTGAAAAAGGTTGATTCTCTAGGGACCCTAAGGTCTTTCCTGCCTAAGGTTCCAATTCCATAGTGATGCTATGTCTGGTATAATTCATAGGTCGCTAAGAAGTGGAGGCCCTTGGAGGGCTGGGCTGGGATTGCTTGACTCTCTAGGACACAGGAAAAGTGTTTATTTACTCCTTAAAGTGGTCCCACTCAATCTTTAAGTCAAGATATAGAGACCCACTGGAGGAAGGAGAAATTGTTTTGACTTTTTATGGGCTAAAATGTGAGTTCTTTGTGAGTTACTTTGTTTTGTTGTTGTTAAATAAAGCCTGTCCTATTTTCAGTGTTAGCAAGAATACAGCCAAAACAATCTTCAAAGACACAGGTGTGGCCGTGTCATTCTTCTGCTCAGATGCTTCCTTATTGCCTCTTGGATAAAAAGGAAATATTTCAGCGTGAGATTTATGGCTGTGTGCAATCTGGATCCAACATGCATTTCCAGTTTTATTTTGCTTTATTCTATATTACTTCAGCTTCAAGGAAGCTAAGTGGTGCAGTGGATAGAGTGCCAGGCCTGGTGTCAGGAAGACCTGAGTTCAAATCCAGCCTCAGACCCTTATTAACTGTGTGACCCTGAATAAATCATTTAACCCCGTTTGCCTAAGTTTCCTTATCTGTAAAATGAGCTATAGAAGGAAATGGCAAACCTCTTCAGTGTCTTTGCCAAGAAAACCCTAAGCGGAGTTGTGGAAAGTCAGATATGACTGAAACGACTGAACAATGATCCAGACTGGTTGAGCAGCAGCTATTTTTTGCTCTCAGCATGCCATCTTCTGCCTCCTTGCATTGTCAGGCTGATCCTGCAGCCGTGGAATGCTCTACATCCTCATTTCTGTGTTTCAGAATCCTTAGCTTATTTCAAGGCTCAATTGAGGTACAGCCTTGTTAGTGGAGCTTTCTGATTCTCCTAGATGGAAATGTTTTCTTTCCCCTCAGCATTTTCCTAGAACATCTTGTTTGGTTCTTTCCTCTGCCCTACTTTGTCTTATACTTATTTCTGTATTGTGTTATCATGCTCATCAATGTATGAGCCATCGTCACTCAAGTAGAATAATTTAAAATTTTTTGTCTTTGTATTTCCAGTACCTGGAGAGGCAGGGAAACATACTGGAGAGAGAGAGAGAGAGAGAGAGAGAGAGAGAGAGAGAGAGAGAGAGAGAGAGAGAATTAGAATCAAGGAGACCTGTGCTCAAGTCCTTTCACTGGCATATACTGGCTGTGTTATTCTAGGCAAGTCATTTGATCTCTCAGTATCAGAGGAAATTTTAAGAATATAACTAGTTATAGATGAGTTGGCACTTTGTACTGCTGGAGGGAGTTTCCACACCCAGGAGTCCCTATACTGATCACATCTCATACTTAGTCCTCTTCCTAATATCCATCCTACTTTGGGTTAAATAAGAGCCACAAAGCAAATTGGACAGAATTCCATAGTGTCAGGCCACTAGGCAGATTTTCAAGGTTGGCTGATCACTCTCTCCCTTCTTCAAAAGGGCAAAAAGTATTTGTTACCCCAGAGAACATCAGGCAAATATGATCAATTGCTCTTTGAGGATGGTCAATTCTGCTCCAATTGTACAACTTCATTTATTTTATATGTGTTTACTATCTTTTCATTTTATTCTCTCTCAATTGAGAAATTTGAAAAAGTAAAATTAAAATAAAGCCTTTATAATGGTCATAGTGCAGCAAAACAAATTTCCACATTGGCAATTTCCAAAAATGTGTATTTCATTCAGTATTTTTAAATCCCTCACCTTTTTGGCAGGAGATCGAGTAGCGTTTTTGCCTTTCTTTGTATCCCAAGTGCTTAGCACAGTACCTGGCCCATAGTATCAAATGAGTTAACGTATATAAAGCTCTTTGCAAACATCAAAGTGCTACATAAGATAGCTAGTAGTAGTAGCAGTAACAGTATCAGTAGCAGCAGCAGCAGCAGGATTATGAGTAAGCACCTAATAAATGCTTATTGATTGATTGATTGACCAACTGGCTTTAACACTTTATTTTATTTTATTTTTTAAAATTAATTTATTTTGAATTATCAACAATCACTTCCATAAGCTTCTGAGCTTGAAATTTTTCTCCCCTTCCCTCCTCACCTCCTTCTTCAAGAGGGTGTGCAATCTGATATAGGCTACACATATACATTCCTATTAAACTTATTTTCACATTAGTGATGTTGTAAGAATTAGAGCCAGTAGGAGGAACCACCAGAAAGAGGAAACGAAACACAACAGAAGAAACAAATAGCAAATAGTATGCCTCGATCTGCATTCAAACTCCATAGTTCTTTCTCTGGATGTGGATAGCATTTTCCATCATGAGACCTTTGGAGATGTCTTAGATCCTTGCATTGCTGTGGTTGTACCATTTTGAAAACTTAATCTCCTTTAGTTAAATTTCCAGTGAAGACCATTCATTCAAAGTTCTTTCTTAAGCAAAAATGAGGTTGTATTGAGTTTTCACGTGTAAGTCCCTTGTAGGACATAATTCTATTCTTCTTCTAGTTTCCGTAATGAATGACTCGATGGAAATGAAAGCTGAGAATTTTCTTCCACTTCATGTAATTTCCAACTTCACTGTGGTTCCTGTAGTTGATGACCTGGGAGGATATGACACTACTTGTGTAGTGAAACTCCATCTCTCAAATTCTACTGCCGGGAAAGACCCAATGAAGACAACTTTGCTAAATAGCTCTCACAGAAGTATGCAAAGCCTGAACAACTGCAATCAGGTTTCTCTGCAACTTGAAATGGAGCCAGGAAGTAAGTTATTGAAAGGAATTAGAAGGAAACTTGGAGACATGGCTTCTGGTAATATTTGAGTACAACTAAGAAATTAAAATTCTCTTACCATTTTCCCATTAAAGCCAAATATGAGAACAAATTCATGAATAAAAGAATAGGGGCTGAGATTGAAAATTGCTTTCATTTATGCCTTAAACATAGGCAGAATGAGCCTCCTATCTGGTGTGATTGGAGGACTCTGAGAAAGTCCTCTTCCCCTAGACTTAAAAGAAAATCTCCTTTCTCATATATTGCTGATGCTTGAAAACCCAACATTAGAGATTTGCTCTTTGACTATATTGACTTCAGTCTTTTGACTGACTTGAATTCCCTCTGCTGATACTGATCCTTCATCTTGTGCTGGTCCTGTCCACATCCTCCCATATATCCTGCACAGGGGGTCTCCAGTGTATTTTGGAGACCTTTTCCTAGATCCTTTGATCTAGGGATCTAGGGATTAGCAGCCAATGTGTGCTGCCCACTGGTTGTCCTCGTGCTTGCCAGGCAGTAGTGAATCCTTTGAGTGTTCTGCAACTTTAATCTTTTGTAGGCTGAAACTAGGCTCCATGACTTGTATTGTGTCTCCTCTATTAGAATGGAAATACCACTGGCAGGGCAGTGGGTAATCCATTATTATATATGAAACATGTAAGTGTATATAACATATTGGTTGGAATTATTTGGGCTGCTAGTTTTCCTCCCCAACCAGTCGTGATTAGAGCACTGAAGGAATGAATGGGAGTTTGGATGAAGGCAAAGGAAGATAGGATTTTTAAGCATGAGGAAATGCTTAAGGAGGAAGGTACAGCCTTGGGTGGGGTGCCACAATGGGCATCCAGAGGACACTGATGCCATTGGGAGAGAAGTGCTAGAAGAATGAAGATATTTCAAAGATACATTTTACCTACTTTATATATCTGCCTAAGTGCCATGAGAAGACCTTTATTCTGGGGGAAAAAACATGCTTTGCTTCATACAGAAAAGTATCTTATCTATCTAGGAAGTACATCAGTCTTTTAAATTAGGAAGCAGTCAGAGAAAGTTGAAAGATGTAAGAGTATGGAATATGGATATAAAAAAACTACATTTTTCTATGAACATTTATGTATAACTACATTGATTTTTGGGTTTTTCCCAAGCATAAGACACAAAATAAACCTTCCTGCTGTTTAATATTTTGCTATAAAGAAAAATTCATTTAGCATTCATGGAGAATCTATAAATTCTAAGCTTATATGGAGTGAAATGGTTATCTACTTGTCTCCTTTGGCCCCATAACTCAGAAAGATAATAGTGATTTACATAAGAGATTCCAATGTACTGGGAAAATATAAGTACATTTTTTCATGTTTTGAGAAAATCTGTGCATAAGTGAACTTTGGCTAGCCTCTCCTTAAGGGAGTTGGCAATAAATATTCAATTTTTTTTTTTGAAAAATGGAAAAGTGAATTTAATCTGCAGAAATGAAGTGTTTTATGTATGAGCCAAGGTACTTATTTTGTTCTGTGCATCTGTCCTGTCCAAAATTTAACACCTTGCTTTCCCCCAATTCACAAATAGAGTAACAATGAAGTACTTGCCCTGGGGGGAAGTACTTGCTCCTGTGGAAACAGAGCTTTCTATAGTCTGGGAGTCTTTTTTCTTGGATCTTCAGATTTAACTCTACCCATATGATGTGTGGGGGTAGCAAGGTGTGAGAGTGGATGGGCCTGGAGTCAGGAAGAACTGAATTCAAATCTGATTGCAGACGCTTACCAGCTGTGTGAAGCTGAGCAAGTCACTTAACCCTGTTTGCCTGGTTTCCTCATCTGTAAAATGAGGTAGAGAAGGAAATGGCAAACTACTTCAGTATCTTTGCCAAGAAAACCCCAAATGGGATCATGAAGAGTTGGACACAACTGAACAACAAGAACAAATATGATGTGTGACATTGACATAATTGTAGTATTCAGAATTTAAGGGCAAAAACAGAGTGGCCACTCCCCCATTTGGGGAAACTGTTTTCTCATAGACTGATTCATCAATCTATTATCATTGTTTTATTGGTTATATTACTTTATTTAAATACTAGAAATGTTATCACATAAAACTCAACAATAGGTTTTCCTGTCCTGAAAGCAATATTTAGCATTTGTCTTATGATGATACTGTTCACACGAGGAATCTCATATTGGGATTTCAATTCAATTTGTTTCACAACTATGAAGCACCTACTATGTGTTGGCCACCACACTAAGTACTAGGGATATGACAAAAAACAACATAGTCCCTGCCCTCAAGGATTTTACATTTCTATTTTCAGTGAAAGAAATGATAGCAAAATTTAGTATTAAATTCATAGGAAATATAATCATAAGCTTTTACAGATGAAAGAGAATATAGTTAGAGATCATCAGTTTCCATTACTTCGTTTTACAGATGAAGAAATTCTGGCACAGAAAAGATTTGCTGGAGATCACACAGGTAGTTAGTGGCAGAGCTAGGAATAGAGTTTAAATTTCTTCATTCCAGTACAACATATTACAACTACTTCTTAGCTCTTGATACATTTTACTGTACATTTAAACATATTTGTTTTCTAACCCTTCCCTCCCAACAGATTCTACTTGTACCATGAGGATCACCTGGTATGTTTTAGTTTTATTAGTTTTCATATTTCTGATCATCTTCATTGCCTACAAAATATTCCAAGAAAACAGAAGAGTTTGGACTTGGCAGAGTAAGTATTGAAAGCTAAATCCACATTGTGCTAAAATCTATTGATTTTAGGATCTTAGTCTTTAGCCATGGATTTAATTTCTATTTCAATTTTAATCTAAATAGTATGACAGAAACTAGGTGTAGACCAACATCTCACACCATATACCAAGATAAGGTCAAAATGGATACATGATTTACACCTTAAGCACCTTACAGCACACCTTAAGTGATACCTTAAGCAAATAAGGAGAGCATGGAATAGTATACCTGTCAGATCTGTAGGTAAGGGAAGATTTAGGACCAAACAAGATATAAAGAGCATTATAAAATGTAAAATTGATAATTTTGATTATGTGAAATTAAAAAGGTTTTGTATAAACAAAACCAGTGCAACCAAAATTAGAAGGAAAGCAGAAAACTGGGTGAAATTTTTTATAGCAAATATCTCTGATAAAGGTCTCAGTTCTCAAATATATAGAGAACTTAGTCAAATTTATAAGAATATGTCATTCTCCAGTTGATAAATGGTCAAAGGATATGAACAGGCAGATTTCAAAGAAATCAAAACTATCTATAATCATATGAAAAAATGCTCTAAATCTCTGTTGATTAGAGAAATGCAAATTAAATGAACTCTAAGGTACCACCTCACATCTATCAGACTAATATGACAAAAAAGGAAAATGATAAATGTTGGGGGGAATGTTTGAAAACTGGGACACTAATGCACTGTTGGTGGAGTTGTGAACTGATCTAGTCATTCTGGAGAGCAATTTGGAACTATGCCCAAAGGGCCATAAAATTGTGCATACCCTGTGATCCAGCAATACCATTGCTAGGTTTGTATCCCAAAGAGATAAGAAAAAAAAAGGAGAAAAGAACCTATTTCTACAAAAATATTTATAGCAGCTCTTTCTGTGGTGGCTAAGAATTGGAAATCAAGGAGATGCCCAACAATTGGGGAATGGCTGAATAAGTTGTGGTATATGATTGCAATGGAGTATTATTGTGCTATAAGATATGATAAGCAGGATGATTTCAGAAAAACCTGGAAAGACTTACATGAACTAATACAAAGTGAAGTGAACAGAACCAGGAGAACATTGTACACAGTAACAGGAATATTGTATGATGAAGAATTATGAAAAACTTGGCTACTCTGATCAATACAATGATCCAAGACAATTCCAAAGGATTCATGATGAAAAATGCTGTCTGCCCCCAGAGAAAAAGCTAATGTTGTCTGAATAGAGACTGAGGCATACTATTTTCTTATCAGATTAAAGTTAGAATTTGTAATTCAGAACTTTAAAAAAATGTTAAAAATTGTTTTTATATGTAATTAGGAAAAAAATAAAATACATTGAAAAAAAAGAAAAGCATGTAAATGTGACCTGCTATTAAAAATTAATCAATATGTCACTCTGAGCCAACTTGAGCTCATTCAGAATAAACTATATAAGTTAAAAATTTTTTAGTCTAGATCTTTCTGCAATTTTTAAAATGTAAAAACATTTATGGCTTTGCCATAAACTTGTCCACAGGTAATGGGCAGGTATGTGACCGTGGAGGGGCAACTACCTGAGCAAAATTAATATTATGCCATATCATTTGATAATTAATATTACTCTGTAATCCTTCCTTTTCCCCTTTTGGTCAAAACTCCCTCTCTTAGCCTAGCTCAAAAGGACTTCTCCCATTCAGAACTAAGGCTTGGTGGAGGGATGTAATTACTCCTAATCCCTAACCTTTTTAAAGTGAAACAGCCCCCCTCCCCTTCTCTTTACCCCTTAGACAGAGAACTAGCTTGGGCTAGGCCCTACCCTAGAGAGACTCTACAATCCTTGAGTCTCCTTTTCAAGGTTACAGATGACTTGGTCTCCAAGGGGGAGACCTCATGGAGATGGTTTAGATTTTTTTTCCTAGTAGTTTTTTCTAGATTGTTGGAGGAAATTGGCTGTCATAAGCCAATTGGCACTCCTTAATTGCCAGAGAGGGGTGCGATCAGCCAACTCACTCCCCCCCCCACTACAAACTAATTCTATCACTTGAAGATTACTGCCACCTCCCAATGATGAAGTAATTGGGAGGAGCTGAAATAACTTTCAACTCACCCCGTTTAAATAACTACCAATCAGGATTGTCTTGTCTTTGCCAAGGAGGTCCAAATGATGTACTGTCAGGCCAATCAGAAGGAAGACATAACCTAGAAAAAAAGACCCTGTAGGCTCTCACTATGGGTCTTTGGTCATGGAGAGAGACCAACGACCTATTTTATTGGTTACTGCTAGCCTAACTAATACATTAGCCATGCTCAGGTTCCCAGGTTTATTGCTGAGGTGTTCATGGGTCATTGTTAACAAAACAATATCTTGCCCTGGAGAAGCCTGGGCTTCAACTTCATTTTAATGCTACATACCATTTGTGAAATCACAGATCAGTTAGGGTCTTGTCGGTCAGATTGATAAAACCCGGACAGTTTACTATAGGTGATTTTGGATGTTTTTCTCAAATTTCTACCAAACTAGAGTTGTGTCAAGGCCACAATGGGAAGCCTAAGGAGAACTGGACATATCAGTATGGATATGTACTGCTTTCTTAAAAGCAGTTTCCAGGGAAATTATGAATTTTCTGAGCCAGAAGATGAAGAAGGGGAAAAAGAAAGGGAAATCTGTGGGCCCCAAATCTCTGAAAGCAAAATGCAATGGCTTCACAGTGTTGTCTAGAGTTGGTTTTCATTCCAATTGTGTGGAAATGACACGGCAGATGTTGGAATCAAGTCTAGTGTAGAAAGAGTACTGGATTTAAGAAAGGTCATGAAATATTGATATAGACCTCATTTCTACTATTTGAATATTATAATCACAATCACAACCACTTTGAATTATCTTTTCCCCAGAGCTAAACATCCCCATCCCCTTCAACTGATCATTGAATGACATCATTTCCTGTTTCCTCAATATCCTTACTGCTGTCCTAAAAGATTGCTTCTACTTGCAATCTTCTTAAAATTTGGTGTCCAGAGCTGAACACTTCAGATGGGGTCGCGATGCTGCCTTCTTCCTTGTGCTAGACTCTAAGCCTCTCTTCCTATTAGCTTTTGGGGGCTGCCATGTTGCATTGTTGAGCCTGCAATTCTCTAAAACCCCTGAATTTTTTCACTCAAACTGTTATTTATCCTATTCACCCATTTGTACTTACAAAGTTGATTTTTGGAACTAATATTTTTGTTAATTTTTTTTTTCTTTTAATGATGTCTAGTGTAGACATGAGGAGAAGGGAAGCAGGGGAAGCAAGTATCTGTAAAGCACCTAGTTGATGCCAGGCATTGTGTTAAATGCCTTACAAATATTTTCTCATTTGGTCCTCACAACAACCCTGGGAAGTAGGTGCTAGTGTTACCCCATTTTACAGTTTAGCAAACTGAGACATACAGGTGATATGACTTGCTCAGATCACATTGTAATGACCAGATTGCAGCATACAGCTAGTTACTGGATTTGAACACAGGTTTTCTGATTCTAGGCCCAGTGTTCTATTCCCTGTACCTCCTAGATGCCTATATAGGTACACAAAACTCTAAGAATGCATCACACAAAAATACTTTTATATAAGTCAGATTGTTTGACCAAAGAGATCATTTTGATAAATATTTTCTTGCATATCCATGAGGATTTCATATTATATCTATATAGGAACTCAAATCACTCTGGCTCTCATTGATTGGCTAACAATAGGTCCCAGCCCAAGCCCCAACTAGTGGTTGTTGTTTGGGCCCTGATTGATTCAGAGTAAATAGCAATTGTTTCTGTTTTGGCCAGAAATCCTGAGGATTTTCCCCTCCCAGATTGATTTTTTTTTTTAACTAGGTAAAAAAAGTTATTCTTTGTCTCATTTCTTACCTAGCCTTAATCATTGAATGGGCACTGCCTCAGTCAAACTGAGACCTGGGAAAGACCTTAGCTTAAAAAGACCAAGATGTCCCACTCTATCTGGAGCCATCTCCAGTCATTCTGATCTATATCTTGCCAGTGGGCCCAGATGGCTTCAGAGGAGAAAGTGAGACTGGTGAGTTTGCACAGCCTTCCTTCACTTAAATCCACTTCACTTGCAAATCATGCCATCACCTTCCTGATGCCATGGTCCTCTTCCAGAAATGACAATGATTTTATAGACTTGAAAAGTTATCCTTAGAGCAAGTGGATTGCCCTTGGCCTTATAGTATCCAAAGCTGATGTGTTAAGAGAAACGAATGAATGAGAGGTATTATGATGAAATGGGATGAACCGAGGGTCTATCAGGGGTGGGGAACCTGCAGCCTCAAGGCCACATGTGGCCCTCTAGGTCCTGTGGCCCTTTGACTGAATCCAAACTTCACAGAACAACTCTTGAGGACTTGTTTTATTAGATTTGACTCATTGTTTTAGCCTACAGAAACTTTTTTGGGAGGTCCTGATTCTGATGTGTGTGTTAGCTGTCCCTTGAGCTTCATATAATCTGAAAATTTGTTAAGCTTGCCATTTATGCTTTCATCCAATTCAATGGTTACAGATGTTAAACAGCATAACTGCAAAGAATCAATGTGGTACAGTGACTAGAACATTGGGTCAAAACTCAGGCAGACCTGACTTCCCTCCCACCCAAGGCTCTAATCTGTGGTGTGATCCTAGCCAAATCATTTAACTTCTCACAACAGTTTCCACCTCTGCGAGATTGTTGCCAGGCTCAAAAAGAATGCTTTGTAAAGACAAAACAATAAATGAATGTCAGTTATTTTGTCCCTAGTACACTCCACATGGAGACCTCCCTCCAAGTTGAATTATTTTGAAGTTTTCCCTCTATATGAGGGAATAAAGTGTCCCTTTACAAATAATGGAAGATATACACATACGTGCTTCTATATGATACATACATATACACACACATATAGACATGTATACAATGTACATAATATACATATCCATGTGATATAAGATATACCTGATGTATGCATATATGTATGTATATATGTGTGTATATGTACATACATTCATATATATATTTCCATTATATATAAAGGGATACTTTACTCTCTTATTTGAGGAAAAACTTCATAATAATTCAATTTGGTGGGAAGTCTCTGGTGGAGTATACCAGGGATAAAATAACAACTGTTATTTATATTTATGTATATATTATGAAAGCAAAGTGATTTTAAGTAATTATTACTATTAAAGTTAATAAGTTATTATTACTATTAATTAATATTCTTTCATCCTATCTATGAACTAGAAGGTAGCCAAAACTAGAAAGATGAAATCAGAATCTTTAGAAGAGTATACCAATTTAATTCCATTCAACAAACATTTATTAAGCACTTACTTTGTTCAAGGCATTATCCTACACGCTAGGGATACAAAAATAAAAATGAAACATGATAGGCATGTCTCACTATGTTTGTGGTACTATATGCAAAGGCCTAGGCTAGTTATAATTGAATGCTAATAATAGGGGAAACCTAAATCTGTTTGAAAATCAAATTGTGTTCTGTTTAAATTTTTGAAAGCATGTTTTAGGGGGGATAGTGTCTGGTCTTTGATGCAGAGATTGATTGGATGGCAAAACTTCTGGAAGTCTGCAGCAGTTACTAAAGATTGGCAGTAGAATGAAACACAAGACATCCTAGACTAGAAAATTAGGAATCCTGTTCTCTATACTGTGATTAATAATTAGCTATGTAATCATGGACTAGTCACTTCAGCTTTCTGAGCCTCAGTTTCCTCATCTGTACAATGAGGGAATTATACTATATGATCTCTGAGGTCCTTCCCAGCTCTAAAATTTTATGATTTTCAGAAATTATATGCCGATTTCTAGATGGGACAAAAGCCACTATCTCATGATTGGAAGGAGAAGTCCCACTACTGCTTTCATATTCATATGATGTTTAAAATTTTTTTCTTTTAATTTGAGTTAAGGTGAGTAGAACAAGAAACCAGGTGGGGCAGAAAGATGCATTCAGCACAAAGCAAGTTTCTTCCTTGTGCGTAAAAAGACTGAGCAGTACTGCATAAGTACCCTGCATAAATACCAGCTAGAAAAGTAAGAACATTAAATATGGGGCAAAGCACAAAGTGGCTTTTTTAGTCTAAGTTTATCTGAGACCCTTTCAATTCTAGATACAAAAAACCTTATATTCAACATACGTTCTTTTGATTCTAAGATAAAGCTTGGCAAAAGCTTAAGATTGTTTTCTACTTAGCCCTGAGAGAATGGACTAGAATAGATTCAGTTGTGATTGCATAGTTAAAGGCTCATGAAAAAGATACCAGATTGTAAGTAAGTGTTTGTATTCTTTCATATATAAAAGGAAGGAGTTGAATTAGATTAATATTTCCCAACACAAACTATATATCAAAATTCTCTGCTATAGACCACATACCTCCTGAAACACACAGTGAGTGTGGGTAGAAAGAAAGAGGAACTCAGAGTGAGATTAGCAGGATGAATAGGAGAAGAATAAGGTAGATTTTAAGTTTTATGGGACTTTGATAGTAAAAGTTTTATGGACTGGTAAAAATTTGTTGCAGGTCAGTACCATGGGAAACCCTGAACAAGAGGATCCATGATGTCAAACCAATTCAACAAACACTTGTTAAGCATTTATGTGCCAAACACTGTCCCTTACCAATCTAAGACTGCTTGATTTTAACCCTTGATATAAATTGTGCATCATTTTTTTCCAGGTTTCTGAGACTCCAGAGAAGTAGTCATGATTAATTAATATTTAGCTTCCTATCTAATGGTTTATTTAAAAATGTAATTGCCTACAAGTATATACCATACACACCTTGATTCATATGCCTAGACACCTACAAGAAATTTCGCAATTTGGGTGATTCAGTCATAGACGATACTGTCTGATTGAAGACCACTTTATAAATTGCATACTGTCTAGGATAAAGTTAATGCCATCTGAAGGCCCAGTCTCTTGAATGTAAGACTACAGAGTAATGCCATTCACCTATTAGCTAGAGTGATATTATTAGGCAGCAGAACTATTAGGCATACAGAACATAATGGCTAGAGATCTTTATTAGATTGAATGTATCTATATTGATTAGTGTTAGCCAAGAAGGCGCCGCTCTCTGAATGAATCAGTGTTTGCAAATGGAAAATGATGTCCTAGGAGACCACTTAATTTCAAGTTTCTCAGGTAGTTATTATAGATAACCTATTTCCTCATATATTTGTTTGGAAAATATATATATGTTTATGAATGTGTGTGCATATGCATCATTTAAATGCTTAGCAATTTCTTTTCTTTGAACAGATCATAGGTACAAACCTGCCTCTACTCTCTTAAAAGGAAATGATTCTGAGAAATTGAGAAGAGTGCTAAATATCCATGTTATTTCAGGTGAGTGCTACATCACATATTCAGGAACCATTGCTAAATAAATTCTAAAGTATCTCCAAAGATTAAACCCTAAGAGTGATAACTGATTAGAGACCTGAACTCACCTAAATTGGCCTCACATCTGGAAGAAAGAAGCTGAGGGTTTATGAAATTCCATTTAATTTGTCTAGTATGAGAGGACAATTAAAATCAAAACTGCCTCCTTAAATAATGGTAAGTTTGCTTAATTGGCAAGGAGAAATTTATGTGAGGAGGCAGAAAGGAAAAGACAGTAAGGAAGGAACTTCAGATTTATTTTTAAATGAGACAAGTTACCATTACTTCTGAGAATTGTGAGAGAAGTAATTGTAGAGTGGGCACAGAATTCTTTAGATTCTGTATTAATGGAGAACATCATTGTATAGAGAGAAGTCGTAATAGCACCAATTAAAAAGTCCCCTCTGTCCTCTCCTAAGTGTCTTTGTATTGAAATAAGAGGCACCTAATGAGAGCAAATGAAAGGCTGTCAGCTCAGCTTCTGCTGGCTGGCTTTCCTCAGAGCTCTTTGAACTAATTAGGAAAGTTCCTTCAGAACCCACTGTCCACAGTCGTGACAGTCTGATGCAGAATGAAGTTCTTCATTTGGATCCAGAGAACTAGGGTTCCCATCCCAAATTTCCCGTTTATTATCTGTGTTCCTTTAGGCAAATTATTTAACCTTCTTTGGGTCTCAGCTTCTTCATCTGTAAGGGTGGTGGACTAGATCAGAGGTCCTTTTTTTAGGGGAGGGGGAATAGTATTTTAATTTTTCTACTTACATGTAAAGATAATTTTCAACATTCGTTTTTTTAGAAGATTTTGAATTCCAAATTTTTCTCCCTTCCTCCCTCTCCTCCCCACTCCCCAAGACAGCAAGCAATCTGATATAGGCTATACATGTGCAATCATGTTAAACATATTTCCACATTAGTCATATTGTGAAAGAAAAATCAGAACAAAAGGGAAGAACCATGAGAAAAAAAAAACAAAAAGCAACAACAATAAAAAAGAAAATAGTATGCTCTGATCTGCATTGAGACTCCATAGTTCTTTCTCTGGATATAGATAACATTTTCCATCATGAGTCTTTTGGAATTGTCTTGGATCATTGTATTGCTGAGAAGAGCTAGGTCAGTCATAGTTGATCATTGCACAATGTTGCTGTTACTGTGTACAATGTTCTCCTGGTTCTGCTCACTTCACTTAGCATAGAGCAGAGGTTCTTATCCTTTTTTGTGTCATGGACCCCTTGGACAGTCTGGTGAAGCCTAGGGAACCCATCTCAGAATCATGTTTTTAAAGGTGTAAAGTAAAAGCCATAGGATTACAAAAGAAACCAATTAATTTTAAAATATTGTTATCAAAGTATTTTCAAAAACAAGTCTACAAAATCCATGTTAAAAACTTGTGGACTAAATGATGTCTAAAACCCTTCTAGCTCGATATAGAACTATGATCCCATGACTCTACCATATATTTCACTAAATGCATACTTATTGAATGCCTACTATGAACAAGGCATTACATTTATAACCATGGAAAGTCCTATGTTTGATTTTTAGAGGGCAGCAGAATTATGAATAAAATAACTAAAGCTTCTTATTTGCCTTCCCATATTTCTCTAACTTGAGAGAAAGAGAAAAGGAATTTCAAGTCTGGTCTGAAAGTGACCTTGGGTTCTTAATAGCTACGTGAGTAGACGATAAGCTCCAACAGGTCTTACCAAGCTGCAAAGATAGGTCTGACAACAGACTGTGATTACTGTTTGAGAACCAGCCTAAGGAGGGAGAAATTCATCACTAATAATTTAGTTAGTAGATGATGAAGACTTTGGGCACGACAAAGCAAAAATACAAAATGGCCTATAGTGTTGTGTGGCCCCCTTCTGTTTCCACTGTGATGGTGGTTGAGAAGTGGGAAAAAATATCCTAAGTGGGGGATCCTACATGGCAGAGTGGATAGAGTGCTAGACTTGGAGACGGGAAGAACTGGGCTCAATTCCCTCTTCAGATACTTACATGCTTGACAGTTGTAAAGCTGTCAAAACAAAACCAAACCCAAACCCTCAACTGCGTTGATAGGTGCATCTGTGTCTGTTTAGAGATATGGAGGAGATTGCTGCTTGCAACTGAGATCAAGAGACTTCTATTAGGCCTCTCAGTTAGTATGGACTCACAGATTCTTCTCTGCCCAGGGGAAAAAATTTTAGACTGAGCCTAAAAATGATCATATAAAGAGGGTAGTAGGATTGCTAGTAACTGAAAAATAATTCCCCTAGCATTGAAAGAAAAGTAAGGAAGCTATTAATGAGAGGCAGTGTCATATAGTAGAAAGAGCACTGTCTGTAGAATCCAACAACCTGATTTGGCGTCAGATGAACCTAAGTTTGGATCTTGACTCTGTCACTAATTACCTGTGTCACCCTGGGAACTCACAACCTCTCTGGGCCTCAGTTTCTTAATTTGTGAAATTAGGAGTTAGATTAGAAGCTGTCTAAGGTTCTTTCCTGCTCTAAATTCCCTAGTTACCAAGATCAGATTATCAGAGTATGGCAATGATGGAGAAAGGGAAGAGAATGAGTATTTAAAGAGTGCTTATGTCAGGTACTGTGCTAAGTACTTCTTACAAATCTTACCTTATTTGATCCTCATAACAACCCTGGGAGGCAGGTACTATTGTTATCTCCATTTTACAGTTGAAGAAACTGAGGCAAACACAGGTTAAGTGACTTGTCCAGGATCACATATCCACTAAGTATTTGGGCCAGATATGAACCTGGGTCTTCCTGACTCCAGGTTGAGTGCATTGTGCCATCACCTGCCTCAAGTGATAGGTATGAGAAGGGTGAATAAAAGTTCTGTGGTATATGGATTTATAAAAACCACACAAACAAAGTATAGTTTTACATGGTAAAATTTACTAATGGAGCTCTCTAGGTTGGGGGGTAAGAATGAAGGTGCTGAGAATATCATCTTATAACAGCTTGACCCATACTATCTTGGTCACTTCTTTTTTCAAGATATAACTTATGACATATCAGCTTTCCTTGAAAAAAAGTAAATAGTTACCCTGTCTTTCCAAGTATTCATGGTAATTTAAGTTCAAATGACCTGGCTAACTTCACAAGTTCATTAATTTACTAGTGAAAGAACTTGTCTCAGCCACATTTTTTTCCATAGATTTTACTAAAAATATTCTAACTTTATCAGCATACTCCTAATATCATTGCTTATTGAGGTCTAAAATTGTAACCTTTTTATGTTTTTTTTTAAATTAAGAATCTATTGGAGGCTTACAGGTGAAAGAACTAAATTCCATCTTATTTGTATTCCCTCAATGTAAAGACTTTTTTCTGCTTGTAAGTTGTTCTCTCTGAGAAATAAATGGAAAGGAAATAATGCTTCCCTTGGGTGCCATCTTTGAGGCTTCCCTATGTAATGATGGATTGGAGGTGTCTCTGGAAATGGGAAGAAAAAAGAGTCAGTATAGTCCTCTGGAGAATCAGTAACATGAGTGAAGGACAGTTTGGAAGAAAGCCAAGATTGTATGTCATACCCTGCAAAACAGCTATATGTTAGCTCCAACTATGCTTGTCAGAACCTCTCCATAGTAGTTCTTGAATGATAAAGTAAACATTGACACAAATTCACACCACACCATTCTCCATCCAACAAGTTCATTTATTCATTTTGGGAGCAAAAGAGAGGAATGTTGGCTGAAAGAAAACAAACAGAGATGAGTAAGAATCCATTCTCTATGGTAAGAGAAGAGGGACTAAATGGATGGTCAATTTTCTGTATTTGTCTTTCCTTTGTAATACAAACACATACATTCTTCCCTGAGTGTTTGTGGTCTATATTTCAGCCAACATAACAGTTTATGTTGTCTTCACTGGCTGTAACAATTTTAAACTTTTGTTCGCATATCGCACAGATGGTGAACACTTTAAGTTCCATATGTGTAGGTGAGCATAAGTAGTTTGAATAATGTCTTGCTTTCCATCTTTATTAAAATTTTCCTATGCCTATGACATGCTTTATTTTATGTGGCTAGAGAGCCTCAATAAGCTGCAGGAATTATTTAATAAAGGAAGATATAGAAATAATGAACAATAAGTCCTGTTCTACTGTACTATGGAAATCTGAATGCCTCATCATGGTGTAAAGGTGACTCGAGGTTCTCAACAGCAATGAGAGTAGACAATAAACTCTGAGAGGTCTTACTGAGATGGGAGGATAGTCATGACAACAGATTGTGCCTACTGTTTGAGAACCAGCCTAAGTAGAGAAACGCTCATCACTAGTGGGTTAGTAGGTGGGTGCTGAATACTTTGGGCATGATAAAGCAAAAATACAAAATGGCTAACAGTGTTATATGGTCCTCTTTGGTTTCCACAGTTTTCAGTGATGGTAGTTGAGTAGTGGAAAAGGATACCCTAAGTGGGGGATTCTGCTTGGCAGAATAAATAGGTTTCTAGACTTGAAGTCAGGAAGACTTGGACTCAGTTTCCTTCTGAAACACTTAAGATCTTGGACAAGTCACTTAACCTTTGTTGGCTTTTGTTCCTCCTCTGCAAAAGGAGGAGTTTGGTCTAGATGGTTCATAAAGTACCTTGCAGTTCTAAATCTATGATCCTTTGATCAGTAAGTTACAATCCTACTGAATCATTTCAAATTGGACATTTTTCACTATAAATAAAACCAGAAGAAATAAAGAAGTTGAAAGTAAATCATGGGTAGCTCACAAGTTCTCCTTACAAAAGTAAATAAAGAGGGTTGGTAGAGAGTTTCATTGTGTGCCCAAACTCACTAAGATGATTTTATGGTATACTTCATCACCTAGTATAAAATAAGCTATAGATTGCAGCATATTACCAATGATAACTTTCATGGAAGAAGTAGTGTAAAAGATATCATTTGAAAAATATATGATCAGGAAAAGAGTAATGGTAGTAATGTAGCAAAAGCAAGAAATAAGAGAAG